GTTTAAAGTGCCTCTAAGGACTTCAATGTAAAATTATTTAGTGGAAGAGAATTGAAAATATAGGACAGTGTTCAGGAGAGGTTGGGACAGCAGATGCGCATATGGGAATCATCAGGGTGCATAGCCCGTGCAGTGGGGTTGTGTTTCTAAGGGTAAGAGTGGCTGATTGAGAAGTAAATAGGAAGTGATGGATCCGGGAACCATAGATTTGGTAAACTGTTCTGAAAGGTTTGATGTCGAAAGGGAAAAAGAGAGTAGTTGCTTGAGAGGTAGATGAGTGTTGTGTGTTTGCTTCAGGATTTGAGCATATTTGTGGGCTTAGAGGTAAAAACCAGTGGAAAGGAAGATAATGACAATCCAAGAAAAAGGAAATAATTGATGGGGTAATAATTGAAAGGAGAAGATTGGAATGTCTTCCTTTTGAGACAGGCAGGAAGGAGGGAAGTATAATTGATGATGAGATGAGTTTGGAAGTGGATAGGAGAGAATCAAGACTCATTATCCTTATTTTATTTAAAAAAAAAGAAGAAGAAGAAGAAGAAGAAGAAGTCTTCTGAGAGTCAAAGGAGAGTGGAGAAGGGAGTTTGAGGAATCTGATGAAGATTCAATAGCTGTCGTGGAGAAGGGAAGAGGCAGTAACCAAGGATGAGAGAAAGGTTTGCTGAATAGTGTTGGCTTCAGCCGGGACTGGAGCTCATTTGTTTGTAGTGGAGCCAAATGCATGTGATGCTTCGCAATGCCTTCTGCAACTGCCGGGAAGCCTGCAAGAAGCAGCTGGGAAAATGAGCAGATGAGTTGATCCAGGGCTAGAAACTGACTGAGCAGATTTTGATGACAGTTACTTAGGAGTAAGAATATAGAGATATTCTTGACTGCAGTAGTAAAGGATAAAACATGGGATTCCCGAGATCTAGGATAGGTAGTGAAGGAAGTTAAGCCTAGAAGTGCCCTAGGGGCTGGGGGAATCAGGAGCGCTGAAGGAGGGGAATAGTAGAATAATGGGTTTAAAGGGGAGGGAGGGAGAGAGAGGGAGAGAGAGGGAGAGGGAGAGAGAGAAAATATGAATATTAGTATGAGTATGAATGAGAAAGGAGGAAGAGAGAGTATTGTGGGCAAGGAGTGGTGTTTTCATACATACCTAGTTCATTCATTCAATAAAATATTTATTTTTGTTCTATTATTCTAAATATAAAATATTTATATTTCATTATATTAAATGGAACAAGCAACTTTCAATCTCATCTCAGAAATTAAATATTTACTTAAAAACACTCTTATTTTAAAGCATTGGCCAAGTTATATATATTTTATTTTGTTTTCTTAACATAAACCAGTTATTCAAAGGGGATTAAAGAAGAATTAATGAATTATTTTACATTTCTGCTCATAGCTAGGTTCTCTCCCATCTGCTGTAGTAGGGAAATAAGTCAAACATTATAACATACATGTTACAATTGAACAAGTGGAATTTAAAATGTAAACTCAAGCTTATTTTAGCTTTACAGGTATACAATTTATTTACCTTGTTGCTGCTTTCTTTTCCCTAATAATCATCTTTTTATTCCTCAGTTTTGATATCTCTACTACAAAGCAGACCCAATGGTGTCCACTTATATCATTCCAGACCGAGTTCCTTAATGTGAAGAGCCAGCAGGAGCCATTATAGACACACTTTTTTTTTTTAGCTCATGGTATTTCTGTTTCTGCAAGTAACAACCTTCCTTGTAATGTTTGTATCTTTTGTTTGGAGAGCTTTAAGTACTCTGAAAGAATCTCATTATATCTGCTTAAGAAGCAGATGAGCAGATGGCTTCCACATCCGTAAAATGAGTATGTTCATGGATTTCTGGAACTATACTGAAATTTCAGAATTCCCTGTGGTGGTTACATAATATGCTTCTTGAAACAAGGGCAAATTCAGGAATGGACTAGAATGCATGCTGTTTGCCAGAAAGCCATTTTTAAATCCTGTTGAGATCATTCTTTTTTCTATTTTATAAGGTTACCAACTTTGACTTTAACAAAGCCTTTGCTGTGCATAATTTTTCTTTCAACCTTCTCCTCTCCGTCTCTGTCTGTCCGTCCATCTCTCTCTCTCTCTCTACTGTTTTTCAAATTACCTCAATCATATAGTTATATGTTAGGAGTTTTCTTTTACCGCCCAGATTTCCAAGTTCCTTCACTAGATTTTCAGCCTTCAAGCTACCTATCATTAGTTTCATACCTTATAATGCTCAATTCCTTCCCATTACAAAAGAACGAAAGGAAACTGGTAAAGTGCCATCAGCCTCTGGAACACCCCTCCCTCCACACACCCCGAAGTTTCAAAGCTAGATTGTCCTACGATACATGCATCAGAGAGCTTTGGACTGGGTACTGTAGGGGAGGGTAATAAAACTTACCCCTAAAACCTCTTAAATTTAGTGGCTACGGCCTGCAATTTGAATCGACAAAAGACAGAATAATAGGAGAGAGAAAAAAAAAAACATTTATTTATGCATACAACACACATACATGTGAGAGTGATGAGTATCTCAAAGAGGTTAGAATTGGGGGCTTACGTGCCATCTTAATAAAGGGTGATAAATTTGTGGAGAAATGCCAAGACAGAGGAAAAGGGAGTTGGGCTTCTAGGGGCAGTAAATTGTGGAAAGGTAAATGTATGGGGGCAAATAATGGAGTTAAGAGTTATTTTAGTAAGGGTTCTGTCCCCAGCGGTCATGATTGTTTTCTTCCTCCTGGCATGGGAGAAGGGAAGGGGAACACGTTCATTCACAATCGAGAAATGTCTATCTTGCTTTTAGGCAAAGGAGGGAGGGCAGAGAGCTCTTTAGACATTTGTTGCTTCTTAATACCTGCAGCTCACAATAATCCTTATGTCGAAGTGGAATATTTTGGGGTTGCATATTCTGATCCCCTCCAGTACTTTATTTACAAGTGAGCACATATGTCAGCACAAAAAAACTGACTTCTTCAGAGCCCATGGCTTCTCTTTCTAGTGTGTGTACTGTGCAGGCATCTTGCTAATGCTTGCAAATATCAGTATCTGTTCTTCATTACGATGCTATTAAATATCTTAAATATCATAAGAATCTACTGGAAGAATATACTAAAAATATGAAATCTCTAGCCTTGGATACTTTCTGATTCAGGGGATCTAGAGGTAGGGAATGGAATTTTATGTATTAAAAATCAGGTAGCCTAGGCGACTCTTCATTTAAGATGAAGACACGAATGTTTTCTAGAACTGCGCTACTCAGCATGGCAGCCATTGTCCACGAGTGGCTATTAAAATTAAAGATGACTAAAATATTAATTTAGTTGTTCAGTCACAGTAGCTACGTTTCAAGTGCTCAGTAGCTGTACTACACAGAACAGGTGTGGAATGTCTTCATCATGACAGAAGTTTCTATTAAACAACACTGTCCTAGAAAGAGAGTAACTTGCCTAAGGTTATGTATTAAGTGGTGGAACCAATTTAATGGGAATTTGGACTTACACCTCTCTGAAATAGAATATTTGTCACTGTATGTCCAGCTTCATTCAGCAGAGAGTGGATCCGTCCAAGGAAAAGGCTTGAGAATTTGTTCTGTGCTGAGATAGAACCAGGCTTCCCCAGATTTATCTGAAAGCCCAGAATTCTCCCATTTGGGGTGTTAGTTTTGAAACCAGTGGGCCCTCTGAGAGTGCTTGGTGTAAATTTCAAATGGTAACATACTCGGGGGAAGGCAGACAGATGACAGCCACTAATATGACTGCACAATTAGTCAAATTTGCATCCTTGGGAGCTACCCACCTCTGATGGACGTTCAGCCAATCACAGGAAGTTCACCTGGTCCAAGAGAGACTCTCCTTTTAAAATGTTTCCCTTTTGTAACTTAGAACAGTTTCTCTTTTTAAATCTAGACAGTTCTTCATGTACTCCAAATGTTTCAATTATGTCAATGGTTTGGGTTTTGGAATGCGTTTTCCTTTAGAGATAATGGTATAACTGTTGGTTGGTTTCCAGGCTGGCCTACAAAAATCTGCAATGTACGTAAAAGAAATGGTTACTTAAATTATAATATGGAAGTATAAATACAGTATTAGTTTTATTCACCTGCCATTTAGCACTCTTCTTTTGTGAGAATATACAATGTGCATTCCAGCTCTCCACTGGGAATAATTCTTCCCATTATCTATTACCTCTTAATAGTTTTTATGGAAAGCGTAGCTCAGGTAGGTGGGATCACATGTCTTGTTTCTTAATAACTCTCTATATCTGCACAAGAAAGGTATCTCTCATTAGCAACGTTTGAGAATGTGATTCTATTGAGTCTGTGGGTAAATCACAATCTCATATGATACTGGTGGCCATGCAAAATGGTCTAACTTCTACAGAGGGCAATTTGTTCGTTTTAATTAAAATTCACAGCACAAGACTCCTAACCAAGGAGGCACAGGCAGAGGCTAAAATCTAGCCTGTGCTGCATTCTCCATTCATGTAGCCGCATCTGCCCTGAAGAAGGGTACTTTCTCCTAGTTTGCACAGAAGTGCTGTATGAGCTAGCAGCAGCCTTCGATGGGAAGATTATATCAGAAAGCTATCAGTTAGCCTCAAAACTATCACAGATTCATTGTTATTCCAATCAAAATACCAACATTAATTTTCCCATGGAACCTGACGTAATTCACCCTAGATTCATATGGAAGAGCTTTAGCTGAAGAATATGTAAGAAAATTGGAAAACGAACCAAGACTGCTTTCTAGATATCCAAAATTATGACAACACTGTAATAATTAAGACAGCCTGGTACTAATGGCGCAGGGATAGACAATAGACCAATGGAACAGACTGGAAAGCTAAAAAAAAAAAAAAAACATTCAAAATATGGAAACTTGAAGTAGTTATACATATGGGGAGAAATGTGAACTAGTCAATAAGTAGTGCCAGAATGATAGATATCTGTATGGAAAAGTATGGATTCCTAAATCATACTCAATGCGAAAATTAATTCCAGGTAGTAAAAAAGCCTTAATGCTAAAAGCACTTTCAGAAGAAAATATAGGAGGACAGCCTTATGAAGAAAATAGTAAGGAAGGATTTCCTAAGCCAGGTACAAAAAAATGCAAAACAGAGGGAGTACGATAGTTATGTTTGGTTCCACTGAACTTTAAAACTTATGTTCAACACTATATTCAAAAGGAAGAACAAGCCACAGGCTGGGAAAAGGCAACTGCAGGGTTTGCGTCTGAGAAGGGTTCATGTCTAAACTCGAGAAACCATGGCAGCGTGTCAGTGAGAAGAAGACGTATGGGGAGAGGATACGAATTCACAGAATAAGAAAACTGGATGACTAATAAATATGTGGAAAGATACCCGACTCATTTGTAATCTGATAAACATAAATGAAGGCACCATTTTTCACCCATCAAAATAGACGAAAATATGTGAGCAGGACAATACTTTGAGTTTCTAAGGATGTGGGAGGAGGAAATTCTTACACTCTGCTGATGGCATGTGAATTGCACAGCTACTTTGGAGGGAAATTTGGCAATATCGACTGCAGGTTGAAGATGCCCATTTTTTGACCCAGTATTCTAGACATACACACTACAGAAACCCCTGCATATATGTATCATATATATTCACATCAGTGTTGATTATAAGAGAAAAAGGAAAGAAGTGAGAGGTCCATCAACAAGGAGATTGGAAAATATGTTAGAAGTATAAATAGCAGTTAAAATGAATAAACTAGAATTAAATATCCCATATCTATAATAGATGCTATCTATCTATCTATCTATCTATCTATCTATCTATCTATCTATCTATCATCTATCTATCTATCTACCATCTATCTATCTAATCTATTATCTCTCTCTCTCATCTATCATCTGGCTGAGAAAAAGCAAGATGCAGAATGACAGGTAGAGACAAGTTTGAAAGTATACCTACGATGCTATTAATTATTTATGGACACATATATATGTTATAAGAGTCTAAAATGACTTACTGAAATAAATATCACTTTGAATATAGTGTGCCTAGTAGTGATATGGGGCACAGTTGAGAGGCCTACAAATGTAGCTATAGTGTTTTGTTTAAATTTTTTTCAGGCAAACACAGCATAATGTTAAGATTTTGTTTAGTTGGATAGTGGAGTTATATGTTATTCACTTTACTGTTCTATATGCTTGAAATAGTTCGTAATGAAAGAAAATACACATATATAAAACCCTTGTAATTATTGGTCTATAATTCATCTCTTGGCTTCTATAAAATAGGACACAGAAAAGATTAGAGAAACTTTGTTAAAGAAATTTCAAATATTATTCAGATGACTAGATTGGTCCATAGCATTACCTTTTAACCTTAATTTGGTGCAAAATAGATTCATAATCTGTAGATAAGAAAATCTATTTAGTGCATTTCCCAGGGAGCCTTACATTAGCCAGCAAAGACTGCAGCTTTAATTGAGACAGTGATGCCACTTAATTGGAACACATGAATGAGATTAAGGGGTACTCAGATAAGGTCAACTTGCTTTCCTTGCTCCCAGAGTTTTGCTGGGTCTCTGCCTTTTTGCTGGCAACTTCTGCCAGTTGGGATGAACCAGAGCCAGATGCTTTTACTGCCCTTCATAAATCACTTAAAGGAATGTTTTAAAAACAGATTCCATGTATTTCAGAGTGTATTCTAAAACATTGTCATGCTGATTCTACTGATAAATTGAGAACTCATTACATTGAAGCATTTGACTTTTACATTGCTTTTAACTGGTTATTGATCCAATAGTTTAATATACATTAATTAAGTTGATAATTGTGTCGGGACTCAATAATGTATTTCAACTGGTTATATCTGCATTTTTCAGGGTTCTCCAGAGAAACAGAACCAATAGGAGAGAAAGAGAGAGAGAGTGAGAGAGACAGACAGACAGACAGACTGACACAGAGACAGAGACACAGACAGACAGACAGACAGATTGATTTTTAAAATAAGAAATTGGAGGTTGACACAATTATGGAGGTTGATAAGTCCCAAGATCCAAGCTGGACACCCAGAAGAGCTGATGGCATAGTTACAGTCTGAAAGTCAGTGGGCTAAAGACCCAAGAAGAACCAATATTTTAGTCTAAGTCAGAAGGCCAGAAAAGACCATTGTCCCAGCTCAAGGCAGGCAGACAGGAGGAAATGTCCTCTTACTCACCCTTTTTGTTCTAGTCAGGCTTTCAACTGATTGGGTGAGGCCCACCCATGTTGGGAAGGGTGATCTTCATTACTCAGTTTACCTGTCTAAATACTAACCTCAGCCAGAAACACCCTCACAGGCACATCCAGAATAACATTTAACCAAATATCTGGACACCCTGTGGCTCGGTAAAGTTGACACATAAAGTTAATCATAACAATATCTTTTTACCCAGATTTAAGACTATTTCACAATTCTTCTTGACAAAGTGGTTTTTATTACCAAAGAGTACTTACGTTCCTCCATGAATAGAAAAAAGTGCTTGGATTCCTCCATAAACATCAATGTAGTATTTAGTAGAGAGAAAAACTTGAAGACATTGACTTTTTCTTTTTTACATAAATGTCTCATTACTAACTACTTCTGTGACCAGGAGCCAATTAATTTCTTGATCTGAAAATAGGAGGAGGTTAGAAAGAACCACTATGTTCCCATCCAGCTCGAGAAGTCTGTAATCTTTGGGCTTTTCATCAAAATTGGAAAGTGGTTGACGTCGGCATGTCTGTGCTTCCATCCAGACGAATTGAAGCTGCTTTCTTAGGTGTATAGTGGAAGGTAGTCTCAGTTATTTAAGTTCTACTTATTTAACCCCTTGGTGCATATAATGACTAGTGTAAACGAATCTCACTTGTGAGGTTAGACTCCAGCAGAGCTCACCTTGTGAGGTTTCAACACACTTATTAAGTACCACATGAACTCACTTTATAGGAGAGTGACTTCCATAGAATAGAAAAGAAGATGATTTTAAAGAACTTGAGACCATCTAAATAGTACCATTGAGGTTTTTGGTGTTCTCTCTCTCTCTTTCTCTCTCTTTCTCATTTTTAGAGAATCGCATATAATACCTTTTGGATAAATTTTCACGTATGTACATTTCTCAAGAATTTTGAAGTGTAGCGAATAACTGATCCACTGACTGACAATCATTAGATTATCAAAAAAGCAAAGTCTGATTATGTTATTAGCCGTGTTTTGGACTGAGCTAAGTCAGACTTAATTTTGGAGATGTTTGGGTTGTTATCAAGAAAACTGTATTCAGAGGACACAGTGCCTGACTAAGTCAAGTGGATAGGAGTCAGAATAGTTTTGGCAGTTTTTAAATTCTTGTGAGGATAAGTTAGGGCATGCTAAGATAACTTTCACAGAGTACTTGACCTGCCTTGTAAGTGATTTCAAAAAGTCAGCTGGCCTGTAGAAATGTTGAATAGTTTACAGAGTTTTTCCTGGACCTTCCCAAGCCCAGTAATGCCACCTTTCATTTTCCTAGCCAAAGTCCCCTTTTTCTTATTGTTACCGGCATCCCCCAGACTAACACAACCCAAGCATATCCAGGCCCCAAACACGCTTCTCTAGAAATGCATTTTTTTTACATTAGTGGCATAGATTCTTGAGAGAGAAATAGAAATTATAATAAAAAGCATTTCAAACAAATGTACTTCTGTGTGTGGAGAGAAAAAAAGTGGAAAAATGGAATGAGGAAAAAAGAAAGGATACAGTTAGGAAAATAAAAGAGAGACCTGGAGGAGACACTAGATTTATTGTGCTGGAAGGAGAATCACTTAGTAAAATTCCTAGACTTGTTGCCTGGTTTATTTTAAGTCTGGCCTGATTTCTTTTAATGTGTCTGTTGTGTTCATTTACATGGTTGCTATCTCAAAGCAAAGAATATCTTCAGGATTTTGGAATAAGCCTTTGATTAAAAATGTGCAGAAAAAATTTAATAACTATAATTAGACTCAGAAAGATCAAAGGGAATCTCATTATTTCAGCTTCAGAATTTGTTACATATTTTCCTTAAAACCGAAAAAGTTTATCTAATGCTCAAAAATATTATTCTTCTTCCTGAATTCATTGTTCATATGATGCTTTTTGAAAAAGTAACTGTGTCGATTGGTTTAATTTTCTTTTTCACACTCTTCTCTCTTGTTTTCATAAAGAAAAAAGCAGCCAATCTGCAGCTTCCTTGGGGGACATTAGACAGCTTAGAGAAGTGGCAAAATAAATAAGATTTATTCTCATCAGATGTGTCATAAGGAAATTGGAGGCATGCTGTGAGGTAATGGCAAAATAATCTTGAAAATTTCCACGTACTTTTTCCAAATGAAATGAAAGAAAAATTAAAGTTAGCTTCCATCGAATTATGTCTAAAGAAAGATGCGTGCATAAAAGTACGAGCATATATATTTTTCTAACAATACTATTTGTTTCTTCCCCTAAAAAAGAGCAGACCAGACTTAAGGTCTTAGAGTTCTAGAAAGCTGTCCTCTGAAATAGCTGACCTCAGTAGGTTTTAAATAAAACAGGAATTGTAACCCATAAAATGGTAGTATGTTTTTCCACACTTAATGTCTCATCCCGTTTCTTATATTAACCTGTGAAGGTATTACTATTCTAAATATTTAGTGCAGATGGGAATCTTACTTTATTTCAGTGGCTGTGATCATTTGCAGAAAACTGTTTTAGCTTCTGCCTAGCCCACGGGAGCTGGTGGCTAGTCCCTTATGCAGCACCTGTAAGTATATGTGGATTCATTGAATGCCCTTAAAGGATTAAACTTTGTGGGCACATTAAAGATACTGGCTCTCATTTAGAGCAGGGATTGGGAAAAATTAGGTAGGATTAAACTTTGTGGGCACATTAATATTTATAAGGTAGATTATAATATCCACTATTGTTCATTTTCCTAGAGTTTGGCTCTCATTTAGAGAGCTGGCTCTCATTTAGAGCAGGGATTGGGAAAAATTGAGTGTCTCTAACAGTCCAAGGTGAAGTACACTGTAAGCCTAACTCAGAGTTTTGGATCTCTATAAGTGAGTTCTGGAAACCAGGACACTGTTCTAGTGTTTGTTCCTAAGCTTGTCT